GAAAACAGAGGAAATTATTTTAATTATAGATAATAAGAAGTAGACTCTTCATTTCAAGATTTCACTAAATAATGTAGCAGCAGGTCCAGTGATTTTTCCCCATTTTCTTGTCATTTATTCTTTGACACCTTTTAAAATAAATTTGTAAACATATTTGTGCTAAACTGCTGCTTCATGAATTCCTCAACAAACAGTATAATTCTCAATATTCCAACCTGTTTCTTTTACAGATTTATAATTAATTGGGCCATAAGCATCAGAAAATAAAAATGAGCAATACCTCCCAGCCAAAATAGTAACCCTGTTCCATCTTGCAATAATTTGCTATTCAGTAAAGAAAATTTTAAGAAATCTTGCCTTATTTTTTTAGTTCCATTATGCCAATATGTGCCTTCATTTAAAGATAACTTAATTATTCTGGAGCTACATTTTGAAGGGTTTCTTGATTCTAAACTCATACAGCCTTTTTATCTCCCTATGTGGCCTTATTCCCAGTCCTAAAAGGCAATCGTAATATGTTGTTTATTTTTCATGGTGGAGAAAAACATTAGGTTTTCCAGGCAGTACAACTGATGCACAGAGTTGAGAAGTTTCCCACTGGCCAGTCATAATATAATGCTAATAGTGAAGAAAAGCACTGCAGACAGTTCCACTTCTAAGAGTCTGGACTTGAAAGGTGTTGAATGTCTCACAACATATATTTACTTTCAAAGACTTATTCTAAAACTCTAACCTGTACCCTCTATGGTGAAGAGATTAAACATTGGCTTCAAAGAGAAATGAGAGTATTCAGTTAAATGAAGTGTAACTAGAAAGCACTTTGCAAGACCAAGAAAAATAAATAAATTTTAACAAATACTTTCGATATTTTTGCTGTCTTCCTCAGGTAAGAAAGGCTTGGGTATTTGGGTCTGTTATAAACCTGTTTCCTTGGCTCAGTGTAGCACAGCCCATTACATTTTGGGATACAGCTTGAAAATGTGATTTTTTTTTTTATTTTATGAGTGGATGGGATAGTAAGAAAATGAGATAAGTGATTTCCTTCTTTTTAGTGAGGAGTAGTGTCAGTGAAAACTTATACTTTTGTAAGTGTTCTTTATGGTTTTTGCTTAGCCTCTAGTTTTAAATATTACACTCACTGGTTTCTCAATGTAAAAATTAACGTGCTTTAATCAGCCAGTGGTACATATTTGCACTCTTTCTTCAGGACAGAGATGGAGAATTCTTCGCACTAGAATTTCTAAAATGCTTGGGAAGCAACAGAACTGAACAGCACAAATATATCACTTTTATACTGTCTATTGCTATTTTCACACTGTCTTTCAATACCTGCTTATCTGCAACCAGACCTTTAGTGCAGAGGGCTTCTTAATTCTGCTTTAAGTATCCACTGTGTATATCAGCTATTCAGCAAGAGAAACTATTAACTGTGATTATTCTGTTTTGTCATCCTCTACAATAATAATCCACACACCGTAGCTAGCATGCAGCCATAAAAAAAAAAAGGGGGGGGTTTCCACGGAAAGTTTTCAATGGTTGGAATCTTTGAGTGGTTTATGCTCAAAAATCGTAAAAACAATTCCACTTCACGTGATCACTGTTAAAAACAAAAGGAGCGGGATGGATGGATCAAAGGAGGAGATTAAATACCTCTGATTGATTCTTTGATATTCTTTTTTTTTTTCAAACTACTTCAGGTGTGGAGTAGGCAAAATCAGAAGCTCAAATTCCCAAACAATACCAGAAAAGACACAGAATTTCATTTGGATCATTAAGTGGAATCTTTCTACTTCTGATTTATTTGAGCTGTCAGTATCATCAAATATTTTATTCACCTACTTCTAAATGTCTTTCCTGATATCTCTAAAAAAACCATGAAAAAAATCAACCAACCAACTAAAACAAAAAAATCAAAACAAAACAAACAAACACAAACGAACAAACCAAACGAACAAATCAAAGCAATTAAACAAAGTAATTAAATTTTGAGCAATATGTGATTTACTCAAAAAGAATCTCTCACTTCTCCAAAAATTTGGAAGAGAATTGGGATGTTTAAATCAGCATTTATGAATAACAATGCAGTTTGGGGGGAAAGTGCCCACTTCATTTCTTTGGAAAGAGGGCTGTGATATTCTTTATCACATCTCAGATTTCTTTTTTGTTATCACATATTGGATTTTTACTATTTTTATCTCCAGCTATAAAAATACTTTTCATATCAGGTCACAGGTGATCTCTTGAATCATCTGAGATTGCAAGAATTCAGCTGACAACACAGCAATGCTTTCAGAGCAAAACATGAAATACTACCATGTGTCCTTTAGTAATCTTCCTCATGTATCCAGCTGTTATTTTAATTATAATTAGAAGTGAATGCGATAAATATTTTTAAGACAAGAATAGGCATATTCATGGAAGGCACGTTCATCAGTAGGCTTTTTAAATGATCCAATATTCTTTTCAGGAAGCCCTTTAACTACCTAGGATGGAGTAAGATCAGATTTTTTTCTCCCATTTGATTCTCTCCTTTCTCTGAAATAGGAATGGGCCCAGCTGGAACTATGTCCTGAAAGTGAATCTTGGATTTCATCCACCAGACATTTCCTCATATTCTTAAGCTTTTTTTTTTCTTAAATTTTATCCACAAGGTGGGAAGGGGAGTTAAGAGGAGAAATAAAGTTTGAGCACTACAGTTCACTTATCTAACTTCAGTAAAAACATATACTTGGAGTAAATTGCTTCTTATAATGAGTGTCGTTTGCTTACACATTCGCTAAAAACTGTCTATATATATAATTATACAGAGAACAATAAGGGTAAAAAAAGGCTACCTCACTCCTCTCAGTAAATATTTTTGTCTGTTTTCCTGTTTTGGAGGGAGGGTGTTTAAGAAAAGCTCCTCTAGATTGAGGCTTTTGTTTGTTTATTTAAGATGTCATTTCAGTGGATTGCTATGTCTTATGTCCCCCCTCCTAACTGCCCCCTTAAAGGAGGAACACCAGCCATATTTTCAGGAAGCCTTGTCAATAGTATTAAGAAGCCACTTAGCATAAGGAAGTTATACTCTTCACTATAATTATTTTCTGTATTATCTCCATAGCATCTTTATTTCTGCCAAATGAGTACATCTGGAATGTTTAGTGTTACATTAAAGACAATAAATGCAAATCACAGACATTGCCAAAAGAAAATGTAAACTCCGTTACTTCATATGGAAAATATCGAAGTATTAAAACAAAAGAAATTAACACTACTTGAAATAACATACCAATCATTGTTCTTTCAGATTTATTCATTTTACTTTAACTGTCTTGGAGGAATCTCATTATCCAAAATACATGAAAAAGTAACAATTAAATTTGCCCAAGTCTTATAAGAAATTATTCTACAAATTAAAATAGCTTTGCATTGCTTGACTTTGGCTTTATGGGTAGAATTTTTCCAGTACAGGGTGAAGTGGAACACTAATTGCAACTCTAAGACTTAATGATTCTAATCTTGTTATTTCTTGTTGTTCCATACCATTACAACCTGCTAGTCTTAAAATTGCTTCCAAAATCTGAATATTGATTTCCAAGCCAAGTGGTAGAGTTTTCACTTCTTGCTCTGGTTTTCTCAAATTCAAACTGGTCTGTGTCAAACAAAATATTAGCACACATTGCATAACTTTCTCATTTTTAACTTTGTGCTGGTTTAAGAGTTAACCAGCAGGGGAAATGAACTCAACTCAAAGGAGAGATTATAAGTCAGAATAACAATTTACTAAAATAATACAGTAAGTACAATCATACAAACAAACAATTGGTCTTAACCCACAAAACCCAAATGTATAACCCAGTACCCTGGGGCATGAACAACGTGGTGTTCCTTGGGCCCCGCTTGAGTCCAAAGTAAAGGGAGAGGGGAAGAACCTGCTGGTGGGAGAGCTGTTGCAGTCTGGTCAAAAGTGGTGATTGCAGTGAGATGCTGGGGGGAGAGCTGTTGCAGTCTGGTCAAAGTGGTGATTGGAGTCCAGTATAGGGTGGTGATCCAAGTCTGTTTGAGAGCGATGAGCCGCAGTCCTTCTCTGGATCCCACAGAGTGGTTAAAAATGTTCCAAGACTCCAAGATTATATATCCTGCAGTTCAGGCAGGAATGCTCAGCACTTCCCTCAGGGCGGGGAGTTCCACAAAGGGTGTGAGGACAGGAGCATCCTCCTATCTCACAGGCCTCTTAACACCTAGTTTATAGCCTGAGGAGTCAGGCTCTATGGGCAGATGGTGTAAATGGTTCATTGATAACAGTTTCTGGGAAATGGCATGGAAGGCTATAGAATACACAGTTTTGGGTTACACCCATACCCTGATGAACTGGTCTCAGTTGTCCTAACTAGGACAACTTCCACAGTTATTCCTTTTGACATCCATCAGTATGGAAGATTTTAAAGTTTTGCTTATTTAGAAAAGATAACATTTAGAGTATCAGAGGGCATTCTATGACTTTTAATATGTTCTACAACATATAAGTCATTCCTTGATAGATTAATTAAGTGCTTCATTTTGGAAAGGAAAATTCATTCTCACTCAGAGAGTATTTTTACTGCATTTTTCTTATATTCTTCAAAACAAACAATACATATTTATAGAGGTTGAATATTTATATTATTTCACTTGACTAAACATGTCAGTATTTATTATTTCACATAAAAGTTATAGTTATTGCTTTATCTGATTTTCTGTTTTCCATTCAGTTAATTAGAGATTTGTGCCTTGCTTTCAAGAGAAAGCTGTAACAAAACATTCTTACAGACTTTCACCTGATACAGGCTGTATAACTGTTTAAACCACTTTGTAATAACTGAATGTTTTCCACGGGTGTGAGATCCTGAATTCAAATCTCACTGAATTATTGATATGGGTCGGAACCAACTCTCTCTCTCTGTGTGTGTGCACGTGTGTGTGTGCGTGTGTGTGTATGTATGTATGTATGTATGTGCATGTGGGGAGGGGCTGGCCCTGGACCTGCAGGTCCATGGTAAGGCCTGCACATCAGGCCTGTGCTGAGGGCACAGGGCAGAGCTGAAGGCAAGGCCTGCAGCCCACGCAGAGCACGTGGCAGAGCTGGAGGCCCTGCAGCCTTGTCAGTCGGGCTGTCAGTCAAGGCAGGGCTGCCTGGCAGCTCGCCCGCACCACACCCCTGCAGCCTGTGACTGCCTACAGCACAACTCAGCTGGGGCTGGAAAGCGCTGGTGGGATATCCTGCCGGGGAGGGAAAACTGAACTCTAGAAATACATGACACTCCATGTGGTCTCTTTCTTCTCCCTCTCCTGCCGGCACCATGTGAATTGTCGAATCTTGTCGGTAACTATTCTCCTCTCCTTTCTCTCTTCTCTCTTTCTTTATTCCTTTTAATCTGTTGTCTTTTACTCTTTTCCTTTTCTTGTGAGTAACTTAAAACCAGTCAACTGGGTTTTACTAAAGCTAATATATTGATTGTTTTTAGTGGGTGTTTCCTGTGGAATGGGTCTTCGTGCTGAATGTTTTAGTGAAATGCTTTTTTCTTGGTTTTATTTTACTCCTGTAAAAACTTTTTGCCAAAATATCTTATTTTTCTCACTAAATTAAAAAGGGTTTCTCTTAACGAAGAGTGTGTGACTTTTTGGACGCTAATTACATGTTGTAACGGACCAAAAGGCTTTTAAAAAGTCTTAAATAAAAATGTAACCGCTGTGGGTAGCTTACAGCTTAATCTGGAGTGTAACAACAGGTCAGTTTGCAGTTATTTTGTATTTTTTTGGTAATGGATTTAGAATCCTGAAATATGAGTGGCTTGCCTGTTTTATTGACAATTATAATTTATAAGCCAAATAAATGCTAATATTTAGGATCATTTCACAGGCATATTTTGACAAGTGCATCTGGGTTTGATTGCTGTCCTTACACTGAGGTGGAGTTACGTACATTTTAAAACTTGTTTGGGGTTTTAGTTTTTCTTTCACTTAACTATGTATTTTGAACAATTTCATTTTCTTCATTTGTCTTCTAGAAAAAATTTGGAAAATATTTCAAGACTTCTCATTGCTAGGACTTGTACATGTTGTAGGATGATTCTATCCTTTGAAAGACACTGGTGACAACATATGATGCAACATATCTTCATACAAAATTACTGTATTTTTATATATTTGTTCTGTCATGTATAATGTTAAAAACATATGCCAATTTAATTTCTCTTCTCTGAGAAAAATACAATAGTGTGCTGAAAAAAGATAAAATGTCAAAACTGATGTCCAGATTTATTCTAACCAAGTTAAGGTCTGTTTATAGAAGACAGTAATGACAGATTCATATACTAGAAGAAGATTAAATTCCTAGTGTAGCTGTATAAATCTTAGAAAGTTATTTTACAAATGAAAACATTCATCTCTCACAACAGAAAATGAGATGTCCTTTCAGGAGACAAGGACTAGACCTCAGTAAATCTTTTAGACTTGCAATCCTTCAAAAATTTAAGAAGGATATTTTTAGACTTTCCAGTATATACCAAAAGGAGTTGTGTGCAAACCTTCATGCAAATACTTTCAAGTTTTGTGGACTGGAAATATAGATGCTTAACTATAAGTGGATGGAAATACAGATTTTTAACTATAACTGCAAACTTCTTTTTATTACCTGTTAATTGAAGTGTGTGTATGGCCAGTCTTCGCGAGCGAAGATTTGGGAAAGGTCATTACCCTTCGAGCCTGCACAGTGGATTTTTTTTAGGTGAGACACAGTGTGTGCTGAACTGAGCCTACCCTTTAATCCTGAAGTTAATTGAAGTATAAACATAAAAATTAGGCAGTGAAAAAAATGCTCAAGTAATGCCTCAAATTCACATGAGAATTTCATGAAACATTTTAGCGGATCTGTCCGTCAATTTATTTCTTTAATTGCTAATACAGTGACAATAAATATAGTCCTAAGAACAACAAAGAAATGTCATGTCATAAATTAAAAGCTTCACAGTTCTTGGTGTGCCGAGTGATGTTATATGTTATTCTATTTTTATTTCTTAGAGTTCTAAGAAGGCTTAGGGACTTCTTTTCTGTGGTTGCTGTCGTTATTCTCCCAAATGAAGGGAATATTAGACACGGCGAGTGCAAAGCCAACGTTGAACAGGCCAGTGCCTTCTCAAAACAGCAGTATTTCATCTCAAATCTGGTCCTGCTCACAAACTCATATGATCAAAGCCTCAGCCACTTGAATACAAGTACCATTTGGCTCTGCTTCTAGTATGTTTTAATTAGAAAATTAGTGTTTTATGTTTTACCTTTCCTCATGAGTAACTCTGTTCAATCTTTGGTTACAGTTTTAGGAGTGCAGTAGGAAGAGACTATGTGGGTTAAACCTACCTGGCTATAGTCAAGGTTAAGGTGCTGAATTTTTTATTGACCTTCAGCCAGGCTGGATGGTTTCATTTACTTACTTGAGTTATTTGTTTTGGAATATATTTCTTGAAAAGAATAAAATTGAATGCCCAAGCTTCTCCTCTATGGCACCCTTGTCCAGATTCATGTCTAAATCAGCAAACATGAAAGCTGGACTTATTATTCTGTTTGCTTGAGTTCTGGGCCAATGGACTCAGCGTTACTCTTCAAGATTTGTTTCTGATTCTTACTCTGCCCTGACAATTCCTACATCTGTGATGTTCATTTGATTACTTACAAGTGCTGTCCTGTAACAGAGGACAAACATTCCTTGCTGCATATTAGTGCTCTCTCCCATCTGTGAATACTTTACGTAGCCATGATTTGAATAGTAAGACACAAATCTGTTCAGGCTTTGCAAAGGGTTATTTTTAGCTTTCCTCTACTCTCAGTTTTCTGCCAGGTATATGTGACTGGAATACAGCCAGAGTATGATTTATGTCACAAATAGCAAGTGTGATTTAGGAATGAAGACTGCATAATGATGTTATCAGTGATGGACTCTGCAGTCGTATAAATCTCATCACAAGAGCCACCAGAAGACATAATGGGACTATGGTTGTCCTAACTATTATGCCATTAAAATATAGGAAAGCAGGATGGCTAGTGAAGAGATATCATGGAACAAATCCATCTTTTACATGTAAAAAACAAAACTCACACCAGCCAAATCATTTTTCCAACTAAACAGAACTAGAATTTCAATAATCAAATTATCTTAGAGCTCTTCTCTGGCAATTTTATCATGGAAATAAGTTACATTAGATGTTAATAAAATCTACTTGGATACCTCAGATAAGACTTGGACTTTCGGTGAGGAAGTCCAAGAGAACTGACACTATCAGTGCAGTATGCAACAGTATGCAACAAACTTCTCAGCTTGAGGCGGGGAATAACTTTATTATCTAGTGCAAGAATTAACAAAAAATTTCTTCTTTCATGTATCAACAGCTGCAATAGCGACTTTTTTTACTTAGAGTGAAAAAATTGTTTACTAATGTGTGCATGCAAATTTCCTCAAAGATCATCTGACCTTTCTTCTGCCATAGGAGAAACAACTGTGTAGGTGTCTTTTATTTTCCCTTCTGTCTTCTCTGTACGGTAGAGAAAATTAATTCAGTAACAGAATTTCCCTCCCTCTCTTTTCAATGCTTCTCTAATATCAACCACAGAGATTTCACGCACACAGCTTGGTAATTTTCAGCTTTTGGCACAGTGAAAATAAGACAGCTCTATACCCTGCTGCTGATTTATACAGGCAAACACTATACATTCCCTCAATACGGATTAAAGGGTGTGCAAGCCTCTTTGATGGGCAAGTTCAAAAGAAAAATAAGTTTAATATATCTTCTTCACCTGATAAACTAGTACACTTGCTCAGGCTAAATGGTTTAAAAATGCTGATTTGTCAGAAGCTTCAAACTTGAAAAGAAGCCATGGTTAGCCATATTCTGAGAGTAAAACCAGGTTTTGTATATAGTATTTTCCAATATGCTAGGCAGTTGTGAACTAATGAATCATCTTTGGTGCTATACAACTAATTAGCAACCAGTAGGAGTGAAGTTTTTGCAAATCAGGAATGTCCTTGTGTCATTTCTCAAGCAAATATGCAAGTAAAACTTATAAATCTTTCAGATCTGTTTAGATAACACTGAACTGTGCATAAACTAGGGGTTTGCCTATTTCTTAGGGTTTTTCATGCTTTCAGCAGTCCTTGTGGTACATGTCCTAAACAAATGCTTTCCAAGCTCGTTTGATTTTTGATGTTATTAAATATGTTACACAATTCATCTAAGCAGCAGTGAAATTAATATTGAAGATATCTGCAAGTTTTCACAGGACACTTAAAAGTCTGTCACCATCTCAACCAGCTCATAAATTAAGATGATTTTCAGTATTTCCAGGGTATGGACATTTTGACATTTCTTATCCAGTTAATCATAAATTCCATTTCTGAAGTGCAGTCCTTGTGATTACATTACATTGCAGAGATTATGCTAAAGTCATAGTTACTGATCATTACGAAAATAGAATCATTGAGTGATGTAGGCTGGAAGGAACCTTAAGGATCATCTTCCCCATGGGAAGGGACATCACCTTTCTTAGGTGAATAGGCCATATATAGGAGCACTTAATCTAATAATGGAGGATTCCATGTGTTCTACTTTTACCATTTGAATTAATCTTGTTCCACTGTTCTGATTTATTTCAAAGAAATGCAAAAGAGCGAATAATGGCACAGTGGGATCAAAAAGAAACAACTGAGATTTTAGAAGCACATAATCTGTTAAAAAATAATTTTCAACTGGACATTTTGAAAATATGGCTCTTTAATTTTAAACCTTTGTGAAAACAGCAGTCAGATAAAAAATTCTGGAATAATTGGTAAATCAAAATATGTAGAATAGGTTCAGTCTTGTAATTTCAGTGTATTTTACCCAAACACAAAGCTCTTTAGTATTTTATAAAAATTACTAAGGCACTTTCTTATTGTCTCGTTTCATGTATTAGTCAACTGATGGCCAGAGAGGAGAATGACCTGACTATTTCCCTTTTGATGACTGCAATCACCCGACAAAACTTAGAGAAAGATTTAATTTGCTGCAGCTTGGCTCTAGGAATGGAGTTTCCCAGTTTGATGGGCATGGAAACTCCACCTACTGTCATCCATAGTTCTTCCATCCCATCTAAATTCTGGCTGAAACCACCACACTTGAGAGACACAAAAAGGGTTTGTGGAAGTTAGAAAGTCAGAAAACAATTTCTGTAAGACTTCAAGGCTAATTTTTTTTTCAGAAGGAAATTGTTGAGAAAATATAACTGGTATGCGAATTTCTTTAAGACATGGTTCTAATTAATGAAGACTTTGCTGTAAAACTTCAGCTCAGCTGGAATCAGATGCTTTTTTCATGGAAATTAAATGCAAACATAACGATTCAACTCTAAAACATAAAGTGGGTTTTCCCAGCAAGATACCAGGATACATAAAGAAAGATTTATTCTGAAAAATAACCGACTGCAACCCTGTTTTCAGTAAGAATAATTTCATATTTGCTTTATGTATGCTATAGAAATTCTCTTTGCACAAAGCGCTAGACTTCCTGAGTGAATTCTATTAGTAGGCACTTATTCATTATCAAAAAATTCATTGTGCTAATAAATCATCAAACATATTTGGCAAAAACCTAAGCACAGAAATATGTTTTTTAATCTCATTCTTTTCTATAGCTTTGGAAACAGAAGATTTTACACCTGCCCTATGTTTGATATTGATTACGTGATACTTCTGTATATAATGCCTGCAGAAAAATCTCAATATCCAGAGAAATCAAGGAAGAAACATGAAATAAAATAGAATTTTTTAAAAAAATCCTTATAAAAATAACATAGAATCATAGAATCAACCAGGTTGGAAAAGACCTCTGAGATCATCAAGTCCAACCCTTAATCCACTACCGCTGTGGTTACTAGACCATGGCACTAAGTGCCACATCCAGTCTCATCTTAAAAACCTCCAGGGACGAAGAATCCACCACTTCCCTGGGCAGCCCATTCCAATGCCTGATTACCCTCTCTGTGAAGAAATTCTTCCTAATATCCAACCTAAACCTCCCCTGGCAGAGCTTAAGACCATGCCCTCTTGTCTTACTGGTAGCTGCCTGGGAGAAGATCCCAACCCCCACCTGGCTACAACCTCCTTTCAGGGAGTTGTAGAGAGTGATGAGGTCTCCCCTGAGCCTCCTCTTCTCCAGGCTGAACAGCCCCAGCTCCCTCAGCCTCTCCTCGTAGGATTTGTGCTCGAGTCCCTTCACCAGCCTTGTTGCTCTTCTCTGGACCTGCTCCAGCACCTCAATATCCTTCCTGAACTGAGGGGCCCAGAACTGGACACAACACTCCAGGTGTGGCCTCACCAGCACTGAGTACAGAGGAAGAATCACTTCCCTGGACCTGTTGGCCACACTGTTCCTGATATAGGCCAGTTTAATTGGGGGATGTGGAGTATGTGTATATGCCAGGGAAAACAAACTGTCAGAATATGGAACTCTATTACAAACTTTCAAGATGCTCTAAGCATTTTGAGAGTCAACAGCTGTAAGAAACAAGATATAAATCCATATATTCCACACATCACCACATTACAGCAACATTTTTGTAAAAAGGGAGTAAACAAGACTTGGGAGCCTGTTTAAAATTATAAAGCATCAACTTGAACATAAGGATGGCCTAAATAGTGCTTTCCTTTCCTCCACAGATGGTAGAGAAAGTGAAATAGTGAAATAAGATATGGTAGTGAACATAAAAACTGAGACATGGCTTCCTTGCAAAAGTAATTTATAACATAATCACAGTAAGCACAAATCTATGTATCATGAGAGATAAATAAAAGAACAGCAACAATAAAATGAGTCTTAGATCCCAATTTATTTTTGACTCATAGTTAAAGTTTATGAAAAAGGTCTTCAGGCTTTCTTGGGTAAATTGCAGAGAAATGCTGTTAAGCCACTGAAATGGTTTAAGGGCTGAGGAATAGACTGAAATTCACATGTGGGATCACATTTATATTCAGAGTTCAGGTACCTCATCTTCCCACATTGAAATTTTAGCCTATTTCTTTCCTTTGAAATGGTCTCAAAATCATTTGCTTCAACCACTGCAGCTTTCAAACCTATTTGATGATTTACATGGTCCTACATAATTTCTGACCTGTGATGGGAGGTGAGGGCATGAAGACTTTTGTTAAGTGAAAGTTTTTCCAAGAGATTTTGCTGTAGAGCAGAGAAAAGGTAAAAGAAAAATTGTGTGTGAGAGGATGCAGACAGAATTTGGATGCACTGATCCTCCATCCAGTGACATCTGCTGATGCCAATGATGAGAACATCCCCATAAGCCCAGTCCTTCTGGCAAGCAGGAAAAATGCAAAGCTATGAATTAATTTCTTGTTTTTCGTCATACTTTCCTTTTTCTATCTGTTTTTGCCACTACTGTATTATCTAGTTATATTGAACACATAATTTTCATATGCAAATCCTAAATAAATGTGCATGAAGCTATGCTTTCACTTGAATTCAATCTGAAATATTAAGATTTTTCTTGGTAATAAAACCTTATAGAAATCTTACAGGGAAACTGTTCTAGTGAGTCTCAGACCACTGTAATTCTGCTACATTAAGATAAATATCCATCTAAATGTCACTTCCGAATGGTTTGAAATTATTCCTATCCATCAGTTTTTGTACACTTACAGCATTTTCAAGTAAGTGTTTTCATAGCAAACACTCTTTCGTATCATAACCCCCTCCCCCCCCAAAATACTTCTGTTTATTATATGGTATTTGAAAATAAAGCTTGCTGCTAAGTTATGGAATGCTTAAAAAATTCTTTTTCTCAACTATCATGAAACATTTTACTTAAAAACAATTTTTTATAATATTTATCTCTTTGCATTTTAATTCTTCCACTGATAAATTCTTCCACTTTAGGTCATGAATTTAAATTATAATGAATGAACAACAGTGAATTCACAGATTCATGTGCATTATGCTTTTTTTTTTGTTTAAAAACAAAAGACAATAGTAAGGTTAAAATTGGTTGTTAAACAATGTTGTTTTCTATTTCACTCAAAGCACAAGGGAAGAGAGAAGCCACAGGGCCTTCTAAGAATGCTATTTTTGCTCCTTGGTTCATTCATGGATTCAGCTGTGATGGATGACTGACAGAATATGTAAGGATTTTTTCTTTGTTTAGCAAAAGAATTGTTAATTCTTTGAATCAGGCATTTGTTCACCAGTCATAACCCCCTTTTATCATACACAGGTCCCTCAAACCACACACAACAGTCATAACAAAAGAGATGCCCTTGCATGTTGTACAGTGCGTGGGACAACACAGCTGTGCTATTGAATATATGGACCATCACAGAACAGCTTAGAGGGAGAGAGTCAAGAAAGGAACCAGGAATTCCACATTTGGGTCAAGTTACTGACATGACTGATTCTACCAGCAAATAAACATGGGGAAAAGAACAAGCTGTGGGTCTTTGTTGGTGCAACAGCCAAAGTTTGACTTAGCTTCAGCCTGTTTTCACCAAGCCCTTTTAGTCGTTAAAGCATCTTGAGTGACAGAACCTACTGACTTGATAGAGCAAAAACTAACAGAATGCAGTTTACTCTCCGTGCAAGTGTCCATGAGTGCAAGCATAGCCACAGTTTCTTAAAAACTCATTTTTCAGCAAAATGTCCATTGAGAGGAATGTATCTACAGGTTTTAAGAAAACAAACCTAACGTTTTATAGTACAGGTTAGTCAAAACTGGCACATTTACCTTTGATTTTTTTAAGGATTTTTTCCCAATATGGTACTCCTTCTTGAGTAAATACATCACAAAAGAGTAGAAACCACAACACAGTTCAGCCTTCTGATGCACACTTGCACGCCAAGGTGCATAGATCCAGTCTTAGAGAACAAATACGTCCATTTTGAAAAATCTTAAATGGTGTTTTTAGGGAAATATTTTAAATATACATTTTAATAATATTTAATTTTCCATATATACTTAACAACAGATCCCTCTTATCAAAGTCCAGATATACTGGTGAAGGCTCCTCTGTAGCCAGGAGAAAACAACAGCTCAACTCACCTGTATATGTTTACCTGCACTGCCTGGTCACAAAGGATATCAAGATAAATGTACAGTTAACTATACAGGTAAAGGTAGAATAAAAAATAAGAGAGTTACAAAAATGATAAATTGCACCACTTAAATCTCTAATGACTGTAGAGCGAAAACAATTTGCTATTAAAAGACATCCATGTTATATCTTCTGAAAAGTAAATTACGAGAAAAAAGTTTTAAGAGTTTCTCAGAAAACTCTGCTTTGAAAATACAGTTGCATTATATGAAAAGAATTGTTGAAATTTCAATGTTAGTATGCATTACTCTTAAAAAAAAAGAGGTAAAAGAGACCTTTCCATAGCAGGAGACTGTACCTAAGCATCTCAGAAATACATAGAGATCCTTATGCCTTTCTCTTTCCTAGTTTTTCAAACAGCAAAAATGGGCAAACTAAGCAAAGATCACAAATTCCTTCATCTTCCATCTGTGTTCCCACTTCTGCCAAAACTTAAAGATTTTTTGTGCACAAAGTATTAGAGGAGTTTTTTAATGAGATCCAGATATACTGAAGAGTAACTAGCAAGGGTCGAAGATGACAAGCACTTTAGAGATGGGCTGCTACAAAGTAAGAAGAAGCTACTTATAAAATCATAGGATCATAGAATGGTTTGTGTTGGAAAGGATCTTAAAGCCCATCCAGTTCCACCCCCTGCCATGGGCAGGGACACCTTCCACTAGCCCAGGTTGCTCCAAGCCCCATCCCACCTGGCCTTGGACACTTCCAGGGATGGGACAGCCATAGCTTCTCTGGGCAACCTGTGCCAGGGCCTCACCACCCCCACAGGGAAAAACTTCTTTCTAACATCCCATCTAATCCTACTCTCTGTCAGTTTGAAACCATTCCCCCTTGTTCTGTCACTCCAGGTCTTTGTAAATAGACTCCCTCCATCTTCCTTGCAGCCCCTTCAGGTCCTGGAAGGCCACAATTAGGTCACCCCAGAGCCTTCTGCTCTGCAGGCTGAACAATCCCAACTCTCCCAACCTTTCCTCACAGCAGAGCTGCTCCATCCCTCTCATCATCTTGGTGCCTCCTCTGGACTCACTCCAGCAGCTCCATGTCCTTGCTGTGCTGGGCCCCCAGGGCTGGAGGCAGCTCTGCAGGTGGGGTCTCACCTGAGGGGGCAGAGGGGCAGAATCCCCCCCTACCCTACTGCCCCCACTGTGGGATCAGCCCAGGGCACAGGGGATTTCTGTGCTGGGCCATGTCCAGCCTCTCCTCCCCCGACTTCTGGACCCCTCATGGGCTCTGAGTGCACTTTTTGGGCTTCACGTCATCAGCTGTAGAATTTGGATGGAAAGTTCTGGCAAACTGCAAAATGTACAGATTTGCCTTGAGACAGCTTGGTTTTGATCCAATTCTAGTGATATAGGGTGACTTTATATCCTTGCATACTGTTTGCTGTTAAGAACTGAGAAGATTCACTGGATGAATCCAATGCACTATTATTGATGATTCCATTAATTAGAATATATGTTCCTTTACTTCAGTGGGTGTTCTACAGTGATAATTGTAAGCAATTATATAGTAATAAGCAATTAAGTAAGCAATCTATAACAGTACATGTTAATTTGTATTAATATATGCCTTTGCCTCACGTGTCCACAAAGATTTATAAATAAAATCTAAGTACAGATTAACATATATATTTTTTACTGCTGCCATATTCATTTGAAAAGAAAAAAAAAAGAGAAAAAAACATTTGAAATAGAAGCTTCACAAAGATTTTCAAATACATGTATAAGAATATAGAAATTTTGAGTAGGATAGTATTCTCTTTAAGGGACCTTCAAGTTTGTAGATCAAGCATTACAATTTTAGGAATGTCCCTCCTTGTTTTACATCTACTGAAGTATATAATCCTAACCATCTTTAATCTGGTATTTAGTATCTTCACACTGTGAAGATTTAATGGTTTATCTTTTACTAAATCCTTATTACTTACATCCCATATGATCACTTTATTTCCCAGAACTGCTTTCCACCAGAAGTTATTAACTGTATGATTCTCACATTATTTTAAGCAGTACCACTTCTCTCTCATTAACTCTTTCCTTCATCTCTAGTAAACATAATTTTTGTAGTGATTTCATAATCATTTCATGTTTTGTTGAAAATGTCTCTGAGCTTTTTTAATTCTAAGCATTAGGTGTTCGAAATATGTCAACCTTCACCTGTTTTAAGCTGTGAAACATTGAATTGTGTTTTTCACTGCTTAAATCTGCCAGCTTGTATTTTAAGGGTGTTTAACAGTTGCTGGTTCTATCTAAACAGTCCATTGAAGTACCTAAATGAATTTATTATTGCTTGAATGTATTTCCAGGATATTTTCAATATCTGTATTTCCCATCATCTGCTGGGCCAAAGGTTACAGAATGGGAAAGTGCTTTATATTTTTCTTTATATCTATCCATTGTCCCTCTTTTTGATCCTCATACACTTTTGCACTCTGTTTTTCCAGAAATTTAAGGTTCAGAAGAAAAAAATAAAAATTTATTTTCTTTTCACCGAAGATTATAATCCAGGTAATAAATGCAAATTTTAGGAATAATGGCAGCAATCAAAAATACAGACAAAGGCTAAAAGAACTTGGAGGTTATTAAGAACACAGTAACACATCCAACATAGTTCACCAAAAGAGAGAAAAGGAACCCTTTTAAAAATCTTGTTAACTTTTGCTTTTTTGTCCTTAAAGAAAATTTGGGATTCAAATATAACATCCTAGTTAACGTGACTTTCAATCAATTCTGTTTTAATAAGTAACTTTTTCTCACAAGGGAGAACTAAGAAATTTTTGCATTATTTTTTTTAAGAAATCTTTTCTAGTTATCACTTCAAGACTAAGAAAGGAAACTCTCTCTCATTAAAGCAGCTTCATAATTGCATGGTGAAGAATAGCCGTAGCTACTTCAAATAAAAAAGGAAGCACTTAGCAACTACGAAACAGACAAGCATGCACTGAAAGCAGTTTTTCTCAGGCTATATCTGGTTTAATGCTTCAAAATTTTTTCACATAAAGCAAAACAAGGCTTGCGTTGATTTTGAATGCTCTGAGCTGGGGTTTAAAGTCAGCTACCAGAAAAGTTTGGATCTTAGAGTCTCAACAGCCTCTATTAAAAAGAATAATGTCCCCAGTGGTAGCAAATAACAATATTTTAACTAGAAAGCTGCTATATTTGACGTTGCCTATCTACACAGACACATTTGTCTGAAATAACTCTGCAGGCAATCTGGGAAATGCCACCACACGAAAGGTTAATTAAGCAGTAAGACATGACAAATCATGCCATAGTGCAAATCTGTACATACCTTAGGAAGACAATGAGGCAGAAGGTAAAGCAAAATGCCACTGGTGCACCAGAGCTATTTATTTATTAGAATGAATGCATATTGAATTTTAAAAAATACAACCGAAACAAAAAAAAAGCTTTCAAATATTTCAAATATCCATTTTCAGTTTCTAAATACAAAGGTAAAAGGTTGGAGACCTTTTGAGGACTAAACATCTCAAAGGGGTTACAGTACAATTCTGTAGTGATGCACCCAGGACTATAGAAACAACAGGATCTTGGACAAAAGGACAATATATCACAGTGCAGAAATGCTAGTGGAAAATCTGCTTCAAATTAATGACAAGTTTTACTGACTTTCCTTTCTCTTAAAACACAGGAAGTTATCCTCTGCCCTTGTGGGTAGAACTGACTGTAGAGGTATTCACAGTAGTGACACTGATCCAAGTCCTGGATCAGTGATGAGATGACACAGACATGTCACCAGACCTAACTACAGGGGAGAAAAACCCCAAAACCCAGTGTGGTGCCTTATGTCAGACTGTAAATGAAGTTTTCCAACGCTTAACCAATTGTGACATAATGATCTGATTGTTTTTCTCAATAGACTTTGATTGCAACACATATAATGCACATCATGCTTTCCTCAACTCTAAACAACCTCATGTGATGTTTTAATTTTAATTATGTACTCAATTAAAATCATAAACCTGAGGCTTTGTGCTAAGAAAATAGAATATGTCAGTCAGAAAGAGCAGCCTAAATCACAAATCATGTGATGAGCTACTGCAGCAAAACTTTGTTATTTTTAATGATTCTGAATTATTTTAATTTTTTTATAACTAATTTAAAACTCATTCTCAATGGTAATTGTATTTTATATGATTATATCCCAGCAAATTAGTATATATTAAATCTCTCTCAATTCCAAAACAGCTGAGCTGTTGTTTGATCACTAGTGTATGAACATGCAGAAAGGAATTTATTGGGTATTTTTATGTGGGAAGTGGGAAAAAAAGAGGGAACTGAAGAGTCTTTAGAGCAATGGGCAAGTGGTGAAGACAAAA